TCTGCAATTCTCCAGCTGTGGTCCTTGGAGAGTCTTTAGCCACTCAAACTCTCCTCTTCAGCGTGCATTAGGACGATATAGACACACGTCCTCTTCCAGGCAGATTCGTTACATTTTCTGTTGATTGGTAATTGTTAATTATTGCCCTGATTGTGGAAATGCTCTAGCTCTTTTCTTAAAGCCACTTCACTAATTTGTGAAGCTCAATTATCTTTTGCTGCACATCAGAAATATATTATTTGGTTTTTCTCATTGTGATGATGATTAAGGGAATTTGGGCTTTGTTTTCCCTCCTATTTATATTCCTGTGAAACAAGAAGCCATGGCTGGATAATTTCATGTCCATAATCACCCTGGAGTGCTCAGAATTGTGAATATGAATGGGAATATACTTCACAGAAATATTACTCATAAGAATTTGTAGGGGTGCCAATAATTGTGTCCAACGTGTATTAGAGAAAACATTTATTTCATCATGAGATTTTAAATTCCTCTCATCCAATGAAAGGTTAGATATTTGTGAATTTTTTTTAATAAAAGATCAAAATGATTAACAATGCAGATTTATTTTCACAGCCTTCTTTGATCATATTTACCAAGGGTGCCGATATTTTTGGCCATGACTGTATACAGGAGGAGCTCTGACATCACTGTAGCTCAGTGAGAGATACAGACAAAGTGAAACTCACTTAATCTGCAACAATATGGACGCGTGAATCGATATAATTAACCTCCTTAAACAAAAGAATATTTATTGAGCCGTTCAGAGACCTACACAGAGCTGGGTAGTAACTGATTATAATGTAATCTGTACTTGTAATTGGATTATATTACACTTTAAAATATTTGTAATCAGACTAGTTACTTTTATAATTCACACAATAGCAATACATTATTCATAACTTATTGCTTTTCCCTAACTCCTCTTTTTCATATTTTAAACGTTCCCTTCTAAAACAGCCTGCCGCTTACACACACTCGGAAAGTCTTCCTGTTTTGCAGATACTGAAAGAACGCACAATTTTTAAAAAACACAAATTCACAATTTCTTGTGTGCATGTAATGCAGGCATTCCCAAACTTTCTGTCATCTGATGCTCTTTCACTTAATATATTTACTCGAAGTACCCAGAGATTTTAAAATAAAATAAATATTTGAATAATTAAGTCTCGCGGTTCTCCGCTGGTTAACGGTCACATGACATCCAGGTAAACAAATTAAATCGTTTATTATTTAGCGAATCAGCTCGAGCGAACGCACACAACCTGATTAATATTCATGAATCCAGCAGCTTGTTAATCCTCGGTGCATTTTATATTGTTCTTATTAGTAGAATTCGTATATTATTAATATACGTTTAATCATTATTAAATATGATTATAATCCACCCCCCCCAATTTTTCGTTTTTTTCCCCTGAATGACCAAAAAATAAAAAAGCAGCACCACCAGTCCTAAGTTCAGTTAAAATTACTAATTTGCATTCGTACATAGTTACCAAGTTTTAATTCTAATTACTAAACTTCTATTATTAAACAATCCTTGATTATCATATTTATAATGCTTGACTGCCTGATGTTAAGAGTGTACTTTCAGATATTTAAAAAGCTGTGCCATTTTACAAACATACATATATATACACACTCACTTTATTAGGTACACCTGTTCAATTGCTTGGTAACACATATTGCTAATCAGCCAATCACATGGCAGCAACTCAATGCATTTAGGCATCTCTAGGGTTTACAGAGAACGGTCCGAAAAAGAGAAAATATCCAGTGAGCGGCAGTTGTGTGGACGAAAATGCCTTGTTGACGTCAGAGGTCAGAGGAGAATGGGCAGACTGGTTAGAGATGATAGAAAGGCAACGGCAACTCAAATAACCACTCGTTACATCCAAGGTATGCAGAATAGCATCTCTGAACGCACAACACGTCGAGCCCTGAAGCAGATGGGCTACAGCAGCAGGAGACCACACTGGGAGCTAAGAACAGGAAACGGAGGCTACAATTCACACAGGCTCACCAAAATTGGACAATAGAAGATTGGAATAACGTTGCCTGGTCTGATGAGTCTCGATTTCTGCTGTGACATTCAGATGGTAATGTCAGAGTTTGGCGTAAAGAACATGAAAGCATGGATCCATCCTGCCTTGTCTCAACGGTTCAGGCTGGTGGGGGTGGTGTAATGGTGTGGGGGATATTTTCTTGGCACACTTTGGGCCCCTTAGTACCAATTGAGCATCGTTTAAACGCCACAGCCTACCTGAGTATTGTTGCTGGCCATGTCCATCTCTTTATGACTACAGTGAACCATCTTCTGATGGCTACTTCCAGCAGGATAATGCACCATGTCACAAAGCTCAAATCATCTCAGACTGGTTTCTTGAACATGACAATGAGTTCACTTTACTCAAATGGCCTCCACAGTCACCAGATCTCAATCCAATAGAGCACCTTTGGGATGTGGTGGAACGGGAGATTCGCATCATGGATGTGCAGCCGACAAATCTGTAGCAACTGCGTGATGCTAGCATGTCAATATGGACCAAAATCTCTGAGGAATGTTTCCAACACCTTGTTGAATCTATGCCATGAAGAATTAAGGCAGTTCTGAAGGCAAAAGGGGGTCCAACCCGGTACTAGCAAGGTGTACTTAATAAAGTGGCCTGTGTGTGTGTATATATATATTTTATTTATTTTTTTTTTGCCTAAGAGTGCTAAACGTCACCAAACCTGACCCAGCAGCGCAATAGAATAGCTAATTACTGAATCGTTGTTCGTGCTTTTACTTACCGACAAAGACGATGACAGAAGAATCGGCAGCAAACAGCAATGTGTTGGTCTAGTAGCCAGTGGTAAGGAGACAAAATCAAAACCAATTTACTCGAATGACTATATGGAAGTTAGGGGGCTTTCCGAAACGTGACGCACACCAGGGTTGCCAGGTTTTCACAAGAAATCCCGCCCAATTGCTACTCAAAAGTAGCCCAATCGCGTTTCGAGGGGGTCCCCAGTTAAAAAAAATGTTTTGGCGGAGTTCCCCTGCTAAAGTTCTCATTCCAGGGGATAAATATCATGTTATTGGAGTCAACACCGAACCCGCAAAGAATTGAGGTTATTGTAGTTTTGTCACCCTAGTCCAGGGGTAGGCAAGTTCGGTCCTAGAGAGCCGCAGTCCTGCAGAGTTCAGCTCCAACCCTGAAAAAAAAACTAGCAAGGTGTACCTAATAAAGTGGCCAGTGAGTGAGTGTATATATATATATATATAGTAGGTCTGGGTGATAAACGGTATCGATATTTATCGACGGTACACCTTCTTCGATAACGATATAAAAAATGTTCGCTATAGTGCATGATATAGGCACGTGCTCTGAGTGACGCAGACAGCTCACACAAACACATGCTGAGTGCTGTGCTGCATGTGATGAGGAGATTGTGAATAAATTCATTAATATTAGTCGAATTTAAAATAAACATTTGCATTTGAATGTTAGGAGTGCGTCAGGGAGCGTCATCAGTGGAGCGCGAGATGCATTGATGATGTAAGTGGCGTTGAATGCATTTACATTTTTTTGTTAGTCTAGCCCACGAGACGCGCCGCTGCTGTGTTATTCATTCAAAATATTAGAGAAATATAGAGGCTCGATGTAGAGGCTTTAAATGACAATAATATCGCCTATTGCAAATATTTCTGGG